ATACACTGCGGCAGGAATGAGGGAGAAGAGGCTGCCACAGCACATGCACGTGGCACTGGGAACACCAGGAGTCTGAAGAGGGGTAGAGAGGAGACTGGCCACGCTGGGAAACAGACCTGACATCATCTCCACAGTGTGAGGCAGGGTCAGACACCCACGTGTGAGCAAAGCTGTGCCACTGGCACACCAGGGGTGGCACCCACTATCTCCCCACGGGACCCCAGCGAGCGGGAGATAAGCGTGGGAGTGAGACCAGGCACCAGGGTGCTCATGGAGGGGGGCAATGAAAAACCCTGGGAATGAATATCCAACTGATATCCACACACAGAATTCAGCACAAGGAATTTCATGCTCCTGCCCATGCCCAGGGACACAATGGTGGTTGCACCTATCACGGGGGCCCAGCTGAGCAGCTCCATCTACACTTCCCCGGGAGCACTGGGTGACGTGGTGTGGTGAGTGGGCTCTGGTGTTCATCTCAGCTCCTCAGAGAGCAGCTGATGGGTATGTGTAAAGACAACACAGATGTTAGCATGCTGTAACCATCCATGTATGACTTTTTGCTTGCATAGCTAAGGCTGCACAGCATCTGGGGTAAGTTTTCCAGCCTATTTCAGCACAAGGGGATGGAAACAAGTCAGAAGCACGTTTAAACTAGCATGTTCACACAAGAGCTCTGACCCAGGCAGGGTAGTGCAGAGCTCTGCACAGGCTCATCCATCCTGCTCCTTAGGCAAGTTTTGCAGCTTTTAGTAAGTCCTGTGTTGCTGTGGCAACAGAACCACTAATACCTGGACTAGCTGGTTTAGGGGGAGTTTGAGTATGTGTGCATTATGCTGTAGCCACAGCAACTAGGTACTCCTTTAGAGCTCTGCAGAACAGATGCCCTGGCTTTGACTTCCTCTCCCTAAGGACTGTGGCCAGTTTCAAACAGCAGCAGGGCTGGGAGACTGGAAAGACAATTTAGACCTAACTACAAGGTCCAGTCCCATACATATGCCTGATTACTGCCAAACCATTAGTGAATGTAACAGAATTGTTAATCCCTGGACAAAGATGAAAACCATTGACTGAGGAGAGATCTCTCTTGCCACTGGCCTTGCTGCTTTCACATCCCACGTACCTCCCATGCCAACCAGGACAGCTGTTATGAAGTCCATGCCTCTGTGACCCCTCAGGAGCTCCCCTGTTAGCTGGGCTATGCAGCCCTGAGCAGGCTCATCTCCTTCCCACTCCTCTGACAAATGAACTCGTGGAGAGCTGTGGCTGCCAGCAAGCCCTTTACCTGGCAGGGAATGGGAGAGGACTTTCTCTCTCCAGGGAGGTCAGACTGAAACCTCTTACCCACACCTACCCCACTACAGAGCTAGAAGTCTCCTTTGCTATTCCAATGACATCATTGTCCTCTTATCCCAGTTGGGATGACATCAGTTTGAGTCCTTGCCAGATTGCAAGGTTTGCAAAATGTATCTCCAACAGGGTGCTTTCAGCATCATTTCAGATATAAAAGATAAGAAGCATGAGGCTGGAGCAGAGATGGAGTTTAAGGTCATGGATGAAAGAAATACACTAACAGTTTGTCTGTGCCAACTGTGGCTCTCAGGAAACCCATTTCTGTTCAGTCTTTCCCCACTGAAACATCCCAAGCATTTGAAATTACTGATTTTCAGGCTACTGGCCTGCAGCTACTTCTGGGGTAGGACATCATATCCATACAGTATGTGTGTTGTGTTGTATAACAATGGGTTGGGTAAGAAACAGATTGTTCAGAGGGGAACTTCTGTTCACACACAAAAAAAAAGGCAAGGGCTCTTCATCTGTGGATTACACACAGAGCAGATAAACCTTAATTAAGGAAGCTGCTCAAAAATAACCTGTACACAGTGAAGCTCCTGGAAAGCAATTTATATTCCTTGGAAAGCTAAAGGGGTGAGTCAGCCCTGCCAGGAAGTGTTCAAAAGCATCTCAGTGGCAAACAAGAAATCTGTCTGTCTTATCTATCTGCCATGTGTGTATGACATCTTGGTTGTAGTATTGTGGCTGGAGTAAAGTGACTGTTATTACTAGTGTTTGTAGAGAAGCTAGAGCTCCCAGCCAGCAATCAGGTCTGCTAAGGACAGGTTTCATGTACTAGTATTCCATCACACACCTTCTTCATTCACACATTTATGTGTAAAGCAAACTCATACTAATGCTTAAAATGGACATATTCATGGTATTTTAAACGTGTGTGCTATGTGTTGTCATTGTACACACAGCTCATGTCCTCTGCTGTCTTTTAGTGGGAAATAAATCACAGATCATTCAATGGCAGGAGGACTTGAGATCACTGAGGCTGGTGGATACATACCTATGTGGATGTATAAAAGGGGACACATAGGCAAGCATGTCCATTTTTTTTATTCAGAGCATAGCCACTGAAGCCAGTGTGCAAATCTTTGCCTTTCTGAAACACACTGTTAAGCTTTTATGTCTCTATCTACACATCCTTCCAGTCCTCTCACCACCTCCATCTGCTTGTCTGCCACACCTCCAGGTTTCTAGGACATCCCTTCCCAGGAAGACTGTTCCTGTAAGTGAGACTTTCTTTGTTGTCACACAGCTGAGAGCAGGAGATAAGAAATTAATGTTTAAGACACAGACAGGGCAGAGTTTAGTTCTTTGGTACCAGCAGTGTGGAAAGGGGATGGAGCCAAGACCTCAAGAAGATTTCTAATCTCTGGCCACCTTTCCATCTTCCATGTCCAAACTCACAGCTTACAGAGGGGACAAAATATGGCAAAGAATGAAGGAAGTGTTGCTAAAACCTCCAGGCTCTTCTAAATGTCTTACATGCTGGTACATTAAGAAAGGAGAAATGGAGGAACAAGATGTTCTCAAGATGTTACATGAGCTTGCAGCCACACATAAGCAAAGAGCAAGAAAGGAGTGGACTGGTTGTTTATCAACAGCCCACTTCAGAACTCAAGGAAAATATGATACCTTATTATTAAGAAAAAACCCAAACCCATGTTTTCCATGCACAGATACAGAGACCCCAAGTGATTTTTTTCTCATGATGCCTGCACTAAGGTATGTGTGGAACTCTTCCCTCCAGTTAGCTAAGGGAGGTAGTGCTGAACCAACTGTGGTACCTGTGGGCTTAAGATGCATCTCAGCCTGTGCTCTAAGCTCAGCTACAGCTCAGTGCATGGTCCTACTGATGTCATTCAAGGCCACTTAGGCCCAGACTCGAAGAAATTTAGGCACCTGACTCCCATTGACTTCACAGGATTGAGTCACCTCAATGCTTTCGTGGGCCTGGCTCCACAGAACCTGAGTTGTACCAGAGCTGGCATTTAAGGAGCAGAATGGATGAAAAAAAAAAGACCAGCTGCCTCCCTAGAAGGAGTGAAGCATGGACACAAGAGAGAGAAAAGCCTTTCACGCCTTGTGAAGTGAGGAAGCAATTTAGCACAGAGAACAGCTTTTTGTGACCCAGTTAAATGGTGTGAAGACACCTGGCTAGAGGATGGCGCCTCTCAGCACAACCTGTCTGCAAGGAGAGGAGACAAAGAGAGTTCCTTTTTCTCCCAGGATGACTATGGTGATGGTGGGTAAAACACCCTTGAGAGAGGAAAGGTTAATTCATCTCTCTGAAGGCTTATGCAGGATGGTTCCCCAGGGTGTAACTAGCAGGGTTTCAGCTCTCCAGTTTCAAATCCTCTAACAATGAGGCGTTTCCATCTAGTCCTCTGTAAGGAATAGGAAATTTCCCCTCTGTTTTATGGTGCCTGGATTGGAATAAGCTACTGATGGCCAGGCAGGCTATTCACTTGTGTACAGTGACTGGGAAGAGACAGAAGATAATCTAAGCTAGACCTATTTAGATATTTTCAGTGTGCCTTCTCAATAAATCTGTGTGGGCTGTGTTAAAGGCCTTGGGTGTTTGGCACAATCATCATCTATGCTCTTCCTTCAGGCTGGAACCTGGCACGTACTGTGCCATCAGTTGTGCACAGCTTTTTGGAGATAAGTACTTGTGTGGCTCCAGAAGGAGCCAGCCAGCAGGAGTTCAAGGAACCTCAGCCTCCAAGGTATCCAAGGTACCCTGCATGAAGCAGGAAGGGATCCAAGCTGACCATGCATGTCCACTCCCAAAATAGGCCACACTGAAGAAATTCAGCAAAAGGGCAAGGTGAAAAAATTTGCCTGAACTATGATCCATTCAATTTTCCTGCTGCAGATGGACTTAGCCAGCAACACAAGCTTGGATATCACTGGACTAAAGAGAAAATTTATCCAGGCTCAGACTCTGTGGTTTGTGTAGTCCTGTTTGGGATAGCTTGGGCAAGGATGGGCCCTGAATCCCATGGCCTGCTGACCATGAGCAGGTAATGACACTTTGACCTATCAATCTCTCTGCCTTCTCACATTTTCTCTTTCACTCTGTTTTTTTTTTCTTGCTTGCTTAGTTTTGGACTCAAAACAATTTTCAGGGAGTTG